TACATCACTAGTGACCTTACGGCGTACCTTGTTAGCTTGTTACATCACTGATGACCCTAAGGTACACCTTGTTAGCTTGTTACATCACTGGTGACCCTAAGGTACACCTTGTTAGCTTGTTACATCATTGGTATGCGGCCCAAGCGGAACACCTGGAATAAATCACTCACCGCCATAGACCGTTATCCGCCATCGATAACCTTGCTCATTAGATTTGTTGAAATAATTTTATACATAGATAGATACAAGTATCAATCTTTACTATTGAAAAAAACCCAAGTCCCATGTTGGCTAGAAATATTAGTGTGATAAGAACTTAAAAAACACCCTTCATTTTACAAGTCAATTTTGTTAGTTTGAGTTAGACCTAAAATCCATGGTATTAGAGCTTATCCAAGATCAATTATTAAGTCACCTACCATAATGATACATGAGAAATGATATATGTACAACAATTTGTACAATGAAGAGACAGAAATTTAAAATGTTATAAATGATATGATAGAGAAAGATAGACAAAAAATGATGTTGTACAAATTGTTGTATGTGTATCATTACTCTTAATATATTACACATGCAACAGCTCCAATAATGTTGGGTGTGAAGGGATTTATTATAAAAAAAACCTAAGTTTCACATTGACTAGAGTTAGTGTATGATAAGAGCTTATGAAGCTTAAACATCCCTCACCTTACAAGTTACAAGCCAATTTTGTAGAATTAAGTTAGGCCAAAAATCCAACATTTACATAAGTATCAACGAATCCTAGCTGGCTTATATTACTTTTTATACTATTAAAGTGTTAATGAGAAAACTTGTGAAAAAATTAGAACTATAAATATAGACCATTAGATTTTATTTGAATGGTCAAGATTAAAAGAAAAAAGCACGACTTTTTAAAGTAGTCATGTGACCACTGCATAAACTTCAATCTTGATAATTCATGTATGCTTACATGACCTAGATTTAAAGCTTTCATATTTTAAAATTAATTTTTTTCTGACTTTGATATACCCACAACACAATTAGGTGCTCAAAATATTTAATTTTGAAATGGGTCCAAATTCAGATGGGAACATTAGAAATTAACATACATTCATACTTGTGCAGAATAAGCTGATATAAACATTCAATTCAATTTCCATGGCAGCATATAATTGCATACATCAGCAACTTTTTCATGGATTCCAAAATATAACCAAAGTACAAAATAAAAACAAATTGTAAGTTGTACTGCAAATGTGTGTATGATGGAAATAGGAGCATTTAATGTTTATTACCCTTCCAAGTAGCTTAGTTAATGTTTAGCTGAGTTCAATGTATCTTACGAAGTTGTGATATTTTAATTGTTCTCTTGAAAATAGTTGTAGTCATTTATTGTCTTTGTAAACCAATAACCATTCTTATTATAAATAATGTTTATATTGTAACAGAGCAGTTTGTTACACCTATCTCTTAGGTAGTTAGAAAACAGTTAATTAGAATACTGTTAGTTTGTTATAATTAGGTTTGTTATAACCTGTGTAGCCAGTAGTCAGTTCCACTTGTTAGTGTACATATAGTTGTCATATGCTGCATTTCTATTCAAGAAAAATCAATATACAGAAGCTTTTATTGTTTGTTCTCTCTCTGGGATACTCTTAACATGGTATTAGAGAAGGGGGACAAAAGAAAAAAATGACTCATTTCACCTGGGAATGTAAGATAGGACACCCATTTGGCGAACATTGCGTTCATTTCTTTCAATTTGATGGCAAGCTTCATCAACAAACTGCAAAATGATTTCCAATTAAATGGATCAGGTTATCAATTCAAGTTTTCAAATGCATTGGCAAAATATCTTCTTCATAGTGCTAGTCACCTACACGGTTGAACTGCATAGATATCCGAGACTCCAAGTCACGCAGCAAATCACGTACAAATCCTGCTGCATCAGCTTTCTGACCAGAGAGATAGCGTTCTGTTATTCCGTGCATTGATATACAGCGTAAAGGATCAATCTTGTATGCCCAGTCTACAACAGCATAAAAGTCTTCCTGAAATCATATAAAGTAGTTTTGTAGCTGTAAACACTGAATTTCTAAATATACTAAATCACTGTCAACAACTCAATAAAACCTGATCAATTATAAGGAACAGTAAGACAATCTGTCTTTATTCTGTAGTCCATAAAATCAAATAGAATATATTTGTAACAAATCCAATAATGTTGGCCTTCTAAAGGCTAAGGATTCATTTTAAATGTTTCCTTGCATACCACAGTTAGAGCATTCTCGCACCTAGCTAGTATTATGCACGTCTCCCTTTGTCTACATTTTCTGCTTAAGTGCAGACATCTTATCCGGTGAGAACTATTTCCTTTTTATAAACTTGTCAAGTAAGCAGAAGTTTGTGAATATATGACGCTCAGACTACTGCTACTTGGTGTCTAGAACTGATGGAGATGGACTATGTTAAGGGGTTGATGGTTGGTCGGGAGGAGGATGGCCAAGTCTTGTAAAGATTACTTTAGTCATATTCCTAGTTGATGTGATGTGGAGCATCTTAACAGATTGAACTTTTTCCTTTTTCCAAGGCTCTTAGACCTTTGGAAATTGCCTTCACAATGTGTCTGTGTTTTACAGTTTACTTTTAATAGTCTACTGGAATTTTCATTTTTTCAGAAACTTGCATGGGTCTTTTTACTTCACTTGATGTCCATTGTTCTTATAAATCATACTTCCTCCATTCCTAATAATAAGACCTTTTCAACTAAATTGCATCCTTTAAGAAACTTATTTAATTAGTTAAGAACATTAAATTTGTCAATAATTTAAACTATTTTTCCAAAATTACCCTTTACATCTCTTAAATTAATCTTCTCTCTTTCCACTTAATCATTTCCCACCTAATTAATTAATATTTAGAAGAGAGAGATAATGATTGTCTATTTATCTTCTCAATCCTAATAAGAGAAAGTTCTTATCCAATTAATTTCAAACATTTATTACCTTTAATCTAAAAGAATTGTTAATTAAATAAGGGCATTTTAGAGAAGATATAACTAATGCAACTGACAATTAGAAGATCTTATAAAAAGGAACAAATAAAAAAGTAAAAAGGGTCTTATATATGGAGACTGATAGATACCAAACAAAATATCCAACAACCCAGAAATGAATGAGAGAATAGTAAGTGATAAAATGGTGGATATTGTATTTAAGGAATACGTAAGAAACGAAACTCAGAAGAGGGAAATCTCATCTGCCAAGAGCCAAGCTCCTAATAGCACAACCAACAAGGTTCTCTATCCAAAACAGTAAAAAAGTAATAACCGAATCCCTCCCCAAAAAGTGCGATTCTCTATATATCACAATATTCTCTCTCTTTCCTCTAACAACCCCGAATAACCCTCATGCCATGTCAGCATTCTTCTTCTTCCCCCGCTCATACACAATCCACGGTTTTGGGCCCTTTTTTTCTTCATGGGCCAGTGGTTCTAGTGATCCACGATGAACTTGGGCCTTATCAGAGACAGAGGTAGTAATTGATAAAAGAATTTGGACTCATGACTCTAGGTGTTTTCCTCTTGAAATTATGCAGGTAATTTGAGCTTCTAGTTCAGAAACTTTGACTCATTTTTCTCCATTGTTCTGCAACAAATTTGTTTGGAATAAGCTTTTTGCGATTTCCAGAGAGAATTGAGTTTTCCTTAAGGATCTGCATCTGTTTCATAAAAAATTTAGACAAAGACAAATTCTGTGTGGTGTTCTTATGGATTTTATATGCAGGGAGATTGGGATGCCTTGCTACATGACTCAAATCTATCAGTTTCTATATGTTTTCTTCTGTAGGTTGCTTGTAAGGATGTTTTATCCTCTACTTTTGTACTCTTCAATTCTTTCTGAAATAAATTTCTTTTCCTATCACAAAAAACCTAAAATAAAGTACATTCAAAGTGATAAAGAGCATTGTTATGCATACTTGAATTCCATCAAGTAAATCTTTAAGTGATTTATTCAAAGCTGCAAGCTCCGCAGAATTTTTACCTACAAAATGGAAGAAATGGTAAAATTCCTGAAAAAAACAAAAGCAAACTAAACTATAATAGATTAAAAATAAACTTTACAGTTCAGAAAGACTATTTGCAGAAAGTAAGGTACACATACCAGATTTGCTATCATTTTCATCAATGTCCATAATTCCCAAATCATCATCATCATCATATCCAGTTTTGTTGCCATTAACAACACCTCCAGGAGGAACCAGTGTAGGAACTTCAAAACACATGAAGTGTGCAAAAAAAGAACTCTGCCACATATGGCCCGAAGAATTATATACATTTGAAATATTGAAGACAAATTTGTGTGGAAAATGAAAGAATATCTAATAATCACCTCATCCACCAAAAGTGGGATAAAAATTGTAAGCATCTTTGCATAAGCATCAGAGACTGTGGAAGTGTCAGTAGCATTTACATTCTGACCAGAACCTGTGGAACCTTCAAGCCAAACAGTTGGATTTCTAGAGGCTTTAGTACTGGCACGAAGTTCATTTGCAAACTCACGGGCCTATAAAAGGATGTGTGAAACTTTAGACTCTATACGCATAGCAAAGCATGAAAAACAGGGGTTAAAATGTTTTAGGTCCGTTAATTTTCTGTCAAAATTGATTTTAATGATTTAGCCCTTGTATTTTTTATAATTAATGAATTCCGTCCCTCACCCTAGTATAAGTTCCATAAAGAGGGACAGAATTTTCCAATTATCAAAAATACAAGCACCAATATTCATCGTTTAAAAAAAAACAATTTTTTTTAACTTACAGCAAAAAAAATCATGGTTTTTAAAGTATAAGGACTAAAACCAATTTTGACCAAAAAATGAGACCAAAAACACATTTACCCAAAACAGTATATATGACCCATAATTCTAATAAAAAAAATATAACACATCTTCAAGTCAAACAGAAAATTGCAATCAAAACTCATTGATCTACAGTTAAGGAAGAGCAGAAATATCATCATACAGCATTAATGATGGAGGATCTTCTATTCAAGGGTTCAAAAAATTAATCCAGGTTGAAAAAGTGCATCACCAGTTAAGCAAAGATAGATGTAAAATTATTGTTCACTGTTGACACCTTTTTTAAAAGATGGTTGTTGAGAAAATTGTTGAAATTATAGGGTTTTAGATATATTGCGAAGAAAGGGAGATAAGAGAGACTGAATATATTGAGATTGATATTGACTTGATATGATATGATGTCTTGCAACATGATAAAAAAACATAAAGCACCCACCCTCATTTATACTAATCCTAGATTATAACCCTAATTAAATAAGGAAATAAATCTGAGATAATAAGGAAACTAATCCTACTAGATAATCTAACATATTCTAAAATATTTTGATATAATACAAGATACTGTGAGAGTATTTTCATATATTCTAACAAAAATATTTGACAATTTTCTTTGTAATGCATTAGAAGATTATTATCTGACAGGAACAAAATAAAAAATTGTAACAAGTTCCTTTTGCTCGCTCCTGGTTAAGTGGTCATGTCAACCATAGAGAAAACAGTACAGGCAACCCAGCTTCCAGAAGTTTAACAGGGCCTGGGTTGAAGCAGGCTTTTGTGTTAAGTCTGAGAGGGTCAAAAAATTACATGATGCAGAGGTTTAAGGACAAAGCTAAGCATTCTACCAAAAACAAAATTACATAATTTATTTTCCATTATGTTTGAATACACAAATAGCCCACTTAAACTTATGCCTGGTTAGACAAATCTTAAAAATAAATGAGCTACAACATGAAACATGCCAACTGGCACAATTTGGCAACTTAATCAGGAATGAGTTACACTTTAATGTCCTATCACTCACAAGGTTGTCAATGTCAGTGAGGAATCATTAAGAACTGGGAATTTTATTCTCTCTAGGAAGTTCATAATACTCCCTGCCAATAATTGATTTTATTTTCAATAATTTTTTCATATTTTTATTATGAAAGTAATCACATTATTTAATAGTTTTCCACATGTATAATAGAGTAATAGTTACCTCTCACTTAATACAAAGATAAAGGAGTGCATCATAATATGAAAACCAGAAAATTAAGAAACAAATAAAACCAACATGATGGGCAACAGACCTCTCTGCGAAGAAGCAAGTTTAGAGAACTGCAATAAGCTTTTCTCAGTGGACCCAGGCAATTCTTGTCAAGACTCTGCAAGTGCCAGGAAGATAATTTAGTTAACAAAGAAAACCACTGAACAAATATATGTATCCCAAATGAAATTAATGCAAGAATAGTAAGGACTGTTTGATTTGATAAAATGTTTCCTAATTTTGTTTTCTGTTTTTACTTTTAAGTAAAAAAAAAAAAAGCCACTATATTTTCATTTGTTTTCTATTTTCAAATATTTGTATATAAGAAACAGGGAAATCAAGTTTTTATTGTTTCACTGTTTCCCATACAAAGTACAAGGAAACAAAGTGAAAACAAGGTGCATTTTTATACTTAAAGTAAAAATAAGAAATGAAAACAGAAAACAATTTTTCAAAGTAAATAGGACTTAAGTCCCAAATTTTAACCTTCAAATGTTGCAGAAGACGTGCATATGTCCTGCACTTGTACCGCAGGTCAGCATGATCTGGCCTCTTTAACTGTCCCCGCTGTTTAGAGCAAGCAGACAAAGTGATACAAATAAATTCAATCAGAAGACTGCCAAAGTGACAATTCTATAACTAATTTAAACAGAATACCTGAGAAAAGTAACTTTTATCACTTATCATGAAGTCCACCAAACTAGCAAAATAATTTCTCAAGAATTCGGAGGCTCTCCTGACGAAAGTAGATTTCAATTTTTCAAGTTCTGCACGCTTCTCTTTAACCTGTAAGGTAGCAAGAACCACCATCAGAACAGATGACTTTTAGGTCCAACACATATTTGCCATATCAACCAAAGCCAGAGTACTCTCACTTGGCTTTGTGATCCCAAATACATGGTACTCTCATATTTCTCTCCAATCAATCAAAATGGTGGAAACTAATGAATGACAAATCATATCTGTCACCTTAAAAAGCTTTTCTTTACTACTTTTTTAACAAATGCAACAAGCAGTCTATCTAATGTATGATTCATAATTTTGCTTCCTTAATGGCTAAATCATGTTATTGACTTATTTTACCAGATTATTTTATGAGAAAGGTAAGAAAGGAACATACAGCTCTCATGTTTGCATAACTAGGGTCTAGATTAGGTGCATCAAGACCACGCAAGGCATTGGTCAACCATTCACATGCTTCTACATTTTGAAGCATTCGAGCTTCATCAAATGAACCTCCGGTCAAACTTGCTGCATACTACACCCAACAAAACATCATTAAAATAAACACAAGCTAGGAAGCTCATCTAGCTTAAACTAGGATACAAGGCATACCTCAGAAGGCACACGCAATCGCTCAAGAAGCTTATCAAGCTCCTCAATGAGAGATTTGTTATTTACCGATTGCATTTCCAGGTTATTATTGCGGGTTTCTATCTGAACATAAGAAAAGTTAATAAGACAAAATAAAGTAAGAGATAGCTGCTTTTAAGAACTCCTACATCTGAAATTATATCACCTAGTTAATCTAGAAAAGTAAACAAAACTGAAACCTCATACAGCAGAAAGCAACCTCCATGGCACCAAAAAAATGGTCACTTTGTAGAAATAATTGTGACCATAACCCAACTTTTTAAAGGTAAAATCCTTATTTAGATTAATATCATTTTAAACTCAAGGAAGATATTTGGAATGAACAACTCGGAAGATATTTGGCATGAACTAACTGTCCCAAAAGTTTAAGCCACTAGATGAAGGCAAACGCTTTATTAGAAGAATGGGATGACACGGATAGAACACTAGAGCATTTGGTCTCAAGCGACTTTGATACCATGTCATGAATCAAACATCCCAAAAACATAAGCTATCAGGTGAAAGCACATAAATGACATTATAGTATATCTCCAATAATTTTAAAAGGGAAAAGAAACCTGTTTTATATATGTATTATTTTTAGAGAAAATATGAAATCTTATGAAAGAGAAGACAGTAAGTATAATGGGAGGAGGATAAACTATACTCCGTGACAAATTAAGAGATAGGGGAGGGGAGGGCAAGAGAGAACATGAAGTTTAGAAGTACAATAAAGCTCCTCCACCCCTTTCTCTATCGAAACCCCTGATGGAGGCCATGGGACAAACCAAAGAGATTCCATATATACACTTGTATCTACATAACAGATCAAGAGGTAGCTAATATCCTTAAAGCACAAGAATTTCTCTAACAGAACACTTAATAAATAACATAATTGCATCCTACATTAAGTTTTCCCTTTCTTTCTCCAGCCAAATCCTCCGAAGCTAATCCAAAAAGTAAAATGTAAAAACTGCTCCAAATTAAGCAGGCACACCCAAGATTCACCAGAGCTTCTAATTATTCCATTCCAGATTAAACTGGAAATTGGATAGTGTAAAAATATCTGGGCAACCATTTCCACTTTCCAAACTAAAACAGATATCAGGATATAGATGTTTTATTTTCATATCTTGGTTTACCTTTTTATATACCTGTTATTTTCCATTATTCTTAATAATAATAACTTTGAGAGGTAAATTTTAAGATTCAAATAAATATGAGCTATTATAAACAAAAGAAGCAACACAGAAATCATGAACAACTTTGCTTTATAACAGAAGGAAAAGGGAATTGAGGTTGCAACACAAACTAAATACAATATACTAGACTAATGATGCATAAATATGATAAATTTCCTTCCCTTAACAAAGGAACAAAGAAAACTAAACAAATGAACCAAGTTTACAGAACACAGACATTAAAATCACAAAGTATATTGTATCTAGGAAATTTATATTCTTGAATTACAGGGGTACAGGTCCTTACTGATGCAATATCCTCCCTCATATGCCGGAGTTTTACATTGAATATGCTTAACCATTCATCCATATCTTCCACACAGCTGGTTGCTGCTTCAAGCCCTTGCATCACCTGCAAGGAACAGAGTAGTATGAGCCACTCTATGAAAACAACCTTTAAGATACATGGAGATTTGTGAAATTGACTAGCATTATCATAGCAACTCTATTACTGTAGTCAATGAAGTGACAATAATGGGATTACTGTTAAAATTTAAAACATCAGCACAATTTATAGTTTCAGGAAGACATAAAATCAGAGAAATTGATTGATTTCATCAAAATAGTTAAGAACCTAAGATGTTTAAATAATTAAATCATAGCTTAGGCAACATAAAATCCTAGTTCAGACTAGCATACAAAACACACAACAGTAGAATATTAAGCTGCCATAAAACATATGAACCAAGGTCCAAGGGGCATGTTTACAAATTACAAGAACATGTAGCACACATGAAGGCAATAATCACCAAAGATAGATCTTCTATTTGTGCCCAGGGCCTAACTCAGCCTCATAAAATAGGCTTGTAAGGTGAGAATGGACCAAGTTTTATAAACTCTATTTAAGCCATATCTCTAGTCAATTTGGGACTAAACACACCCTTGAGATTGCAATTAAGGAAACCCAAATAAACCACAATTAAGGTGAACCATGGTTGACTGCAACACTAAGGCAGCTTTCCAACATACACCCTCATGCCTGGGGTTACGAACTTGAAGCATTACAATGCAAGCAGCCCAACAATGAATCTAGGAAAAACACTCATAGCATCATAAAATTTGGACTACAGACCTAACTCAACCCCACAAAAGCTAGTTGTAAGGTGTATGTTGCCCAAATAAACTTTATTTAAGTCATATCTTTATTCAATGTGGGACTAAACACATCTCTCGAGGTTGCAATTAAGGCAACTTGAAGAGGTTGCAATTGAGGCAAACCAAGGGTAACCACAACTTCCAACAAAAGGTCAGCTTGGAGGACAGAAATACCTCATCCATCAAAGGTTCACTTTCTAAAATAGAATGCACATTTGCTGCTTCCAGAGCCTGGAGCTCTCTCTTCAACCTTTCAGAAAACTCCTCTGCTTCACCAATACCCATGACATAACTGCACGATCCAAAAAAACAAAAAACCATTTATTTGTTCAAGTTGACACAGTGAAGTAAGACATGATTAAGCAGAAGTGAATTATACATGTATCTAACCAGCATAATTGTTTTCATTTGAGCTTTGACAAATATGTTACAATAATTATGTACAATACTTTCTAATAATTTATGCATTCCCTGTATCAATGTGTATCATAAAATGTGGCCAGCAATGTTGTAAGGAGAGACTCTGTTTGACCCAATGATTTAAAGAACTCAATCCCGCAATTTACCAAAACATAGGTCATTACTTCAAGTGCATTCTGACTCATCATAAATATCTAACCTCAACACCATTTAAGACAAAGAATAGCACCTACGTTCCCAAAAGAGCCTCCATGTCCTCTTCCTCTGCCTGTGAGACCAGCTCCTTTTCAACATTGACTTTCAATTCTGTCTCAGTCACAGCAGATGCAACAGGACCACCATCTCGCACTTTATTTTGAACCGAAACAGGGGGTGTATTTTCCTATTTCACAGTTTGTCAAAATAAATAAATGGAGAAGACAACTATATACAATAATTAACTGCATTTCAACACTGTAATAAGAAATTTGAACAGAGACAATCCAACTTAGACAGTCATATGCTATGTTTACATGGGAAGTAAGAAGGGAAAAGAAATTGAAAAGGAAAACGAAAAATTGACTTTAATTCTTGTGTAGGAAATTTTTAAGCAGAGAAGGAGTAGGAACCTTCAGCAAACCCCATCCACCTCAAATTGGCTAGCAAACAGGGAAAATTATTTGTTTCAAATTAAATAAGGAGAAGTAACACTCATTTGCTCTGCTTAACTTTGAGGGAAAGGGGATTTCCCTCCTTACTCACTTCAACATGAAAGGGGTTTAACCACCCCACCCCCTCCCTCCCTCCCTGTTTAACATCCATAGCTTGAAGTCATAGACTTGATACCCCAGATGAGGCAAGTCATGTTCCATACAGAGTAATAAATACCAATTAATTATTTATTAATCAGGAAAAGTAAAAGTATTCATTCGAAAATATTAATGATGGCTACTTGATTGTAAAGAAGCACTAAAATTAAACGACAAAAGACCATCATATGCACCTTAGCCCAAAGAGCCATCTCCACAACATCTATACCAACAACCTTAGGAAGACGACCCAAAACATCTTTGCAGATGTTCAAGACGCATAGAAGGAGGCGATTCCTACAAGAAAAATCATGGACACAATGAGAAAACTTTCATCACCTCACATAAATTTAACCACTAATTAACTATCTATGCATAGATTAACATTTCTATCAACAATATAACCTGTCATCAATATTGCGCATTGTCCATTGAGGAGGAGCCACACTCTGGCTTCTAAGGTTATCAAATCCCTGGAAGATATACATGCGTCAGCCCAACAAACAAATGACTGAGAAGACAAAAAAAACAAAAACAAAAACAAAAAACTCCAAAGCAAGGAATGGTTGGTTGCTTTTCATATTGCTTATGTGCCAGAAACTAAGAACAACATATCTAGAACCAGAACATAGAGATCTCTTCCATAATGGAACTTTACCAGAGTAAATGTACATCCACTGGGATCATTTGTTACAACTTCCACTTTTGAGAGATGCTTTAGCTTGTATAGTTTTGCAGGCTGCAAGCACAAAAGTTTAACAAAGTTGGAAACACTAAACAGGAGGGAGAAGAAATGCCATCCAAAAAAAAAACACGTGGCAATAAACAACAGCTAAAGAGGAATCTTAATTTAATTTGTAATATTAGGAGTGGGGGATTTAATTTGTAAGGGGAGTGGGGGATCATGAGCTGAAACCCAAACCCAAACCCAAACATATCCCAAATAAATGAAGAAAAGACAAATTACTTCAAGAACTCCTCCAGTAGAATACTTCAAAACTCGAAGAAAAGCCGTTGTCCGCTGACCTTTCGATTTCGCTGCAGGAAACACCACGTCGTCACCAACAACTACACAAATGTAGAGTTTAAAAGACCATTAAAACAGCAACACAAGCTGAAGAAACAACACGCAATCACTCCCGCCTCAAGATCAGTAGAAGATCCAATCCAACTAGCTATAAAGCATATATCACAAAAAAGCACACCAAACGAAGCAAGCATTACTGCATAAGCCACAGCTAAACCTAACACGAAATTCGAGCGGAAGCTCCAAAGTGTTGTTACAAAAAAAAACAATGTTCACATCAGAGTAGTTAATTCAATTTCTTGAAAGCTAAAACAGCGATAGAATCTCGTGCAAGCAAAATAAAAGTAGCGAGCATAGATAAATAGCTGAATTGATAATCGAAGAGAGCGATTAAAGAAGAGGTAGGTGTAACTGGAGAGAGCGAGAACCCTAGGCTTGGCCATTTGACGACCAAGCTTGGAAGATTTTCCTAAGATCCCGTGGCTCTTGGCAACGCGTAGCGCCATCACGATCTTCTGCTTCGGGTCCTCAATTGCGGCGTCGCAAGCTCGCCGGAGCTCGCCGTCGTCGGCGCTTGATTTCGCCATTTATCGCTCGTCGCCGATCTCGAAGCTCCTCTCGCAAAAGAAAGAGAGAGAGAGAGAAGCAAAGTGAAAAATGTTGGTAGTAGTCACAGTTGAAAAAGGAAAAGAAACTTTTCTGATTGGCCTTGGTTGGCCTTTTATTTATCCCTCTGCCTTCGTTCAGTCTTGTCCGCGTCCTTCAAATGCTTGTTTACTTTTCTTCTACTGACGCTAAAACTTGGATTCCTTGCAGTCAATTTTGACGCGCAGTTTACCTTGCAGTCATAATCCAAAGGCTGTTATTTTTTATTTATTATTTTATTAATTTTATGAGGGTTGAAAAAGAAAATGAACGGTAGAGATTGAGCTTTTCTCCTCTTGCCCAACCGCAGGTAATACAATTTACTTACTTTTACTGTTGCAGTTTTTACCAGAACTAGGAGTGACTTTTCCTCTGTCCTTGTCCGAATTGGACTCAAGGATCAATTTATTTTCAACTTTTAATTTTATTTTTCTTCTCCACGGCAAAAAAAAAATAAATAAATAACTTCATTGAAATTATAATTTTTTATTAATCTTAAATATATTTTTTACTATTTATAAATAAATAAACTTTAATTTTTGTTCTCCCCAAAATAATTCTTTTTTTCCATTATTTAAATTTTAAAAATGTTATTTATGATCATGGTAAAATAAATAAATGTTATTTTTGTCTTTATAAAATATTTGTTTGATTTTTATTTTTCAAAATTCTCAATGTCACTAATTTTAATTCCTAATATTCATTTTAAGATAGATAAAATAGTTTAAGTATTTAGAATATTATTTTTTTTTTTAAGATTTCACATGCTAATGTAGTATTATAATTTATAAACACGGTTAGATATCATATAAGACAATCACTTAAATTATATTCACGTGTAAGTAATTAATAAGCATCAAATAGTGATAGGGTCAAAAAATAATATTTTCAATTTTGGAGGATGAAAATTAAAAAAAAATTACAACAATCAAATTTGTTCATTTTACAATAACTAAAAATATATTTAAGTTTTTGTATTATTATAGCCATATTATGCCTTTTAAATAGAGGAAAATGACTTATGTATTGACATTGTAAATTAGTTTTTACATCATTATGTAATCACAAACCAACATTTATGATAAGTTGTTAAATTTTATAATCAATAAATAAGTAAAAAGTCGTAATAATATTAATATCTAGTTGATTCATAATATAAGATTATTTTACATTCTCACATTCATTAAACTCTTTTAAATATTATGTCATATACAATAAACATATATTATTGCTTTTTTAGGTTAAAATATGTATTTTAATGATATTAATGTTTATAATATCACTCTAAATAATAATATTGTATTTATTTTCTTGAAATATTATTTTTATAGTTAAATCAAACAACTATACATTTAATCAATTAAAATATATTAACATAAACACTTGTTCATCTTCTAATATCAAATTGTTATAAATTATTTCTATTATCAAAGCTCATGGAGGAGTGAGAGGAGGAGGAGGAGGAGATCCATTAAAATATATTAAGATATATTAGAAAACAAAGTAAAGAAAGGAGAATTGGTTGAATATTCTTTATTATTAAGAAAATGCATTGTGTCCTGTTTACAATAGAAGAGCAACTATATATAGGTAGTTGTTGAAACCTACATAACACACTTTAAAGAAAAGTGCTAAAGAAGCTTTGTAGTAGAAATGTAACAACTTGACAAAATAAGGAAAGTAATACAATACACAAGCTCAACATAGGAGTTTGTGCACCCTATTACAGTAATGGAAAAATAGTATATTAACATTTTATAACATTCTCTCCTCAAGTTGAAGTTGGTTGCGTAGTTTTACAAGTCACTTACATCTTGTCCTAGAGATAGTGGAAACAAGTAGGAGATGGAGCTTTAATGAAGAGATTTGCACATTGTTCATTAGAAGGAATGTGAAGGACTTAAAGATCATTGTTAATCACTTTTTCCCAAAGAAAAAAGATATCAAGTTCCATATGTTTTGTTTTAGCATGTAAGATAGGGTTGTGTGAAAGAGTCATTGTGCTCATTTTATCACAATAAGTTGTTGGTGAAGGAGTGGTGATATGTAATTCTTGCAAGAGAAACTAAATCCATAAAGTTTCGACAATAATAACTACTAAATTTCGATACTCTTCTTTTATGGTGGAGTATGCCACAATAGTTTTCTTTTTAAACCACCACAAAAAAAGATTTGGACAAAGAAATGTCAAAAGTGGAACACCTGTCATCAAGGTTACCTACCTAAACAACATCAGAAGAAGTTGTTCTATGAAGAGTAGTAGTAGAAGAAGTTGGTTGTATGATCAAACCATGATGAATAACACCTTTAAGACATCGAAGCATACGTTTAATTGCAATCCAATGAGTATCTAGAAGAGTTTACATAAATTGGCATATTTTGTTGACAAAAACACTATTTAACTACTGAATGAGTGGTTGTATAAGCTGTGGAGAATTCCCAATTAAAATTATATCATCTACATATACAGGCAAATAGACGATGTTAGAATTATGTTAGTAAATGAATAAAGATGGATCACATTTACTAGCAGTAAACCCGATGCTTAATAGAATAGATTTTAGCTTCTCAAACCATGCACAAGGTGTCTGTTTAAGACCATAAAGTTCTTTGTGCAACTTGTAAACTAAGGTTTTATCTAATGCTTGAAGGTTGTTTCATATATACTTCTTCATGAAGTTGTCCATTCAAAAAAGCATTATTCACATATAGTTGTTGTATGGACCAATTATGTGTTAGAGCTAAAGTGAGAATGATTCTAACAGTAGTTGGCTTAATCATTGGTGAAAATGTTTCTATATAGTCAAACCCGATTGTTGGTGAAAGCCTTTAACTACCAACCTAGCTTTATACCTATTAATAGTGCCATTTGGGTTTTTCTTTAAATGAAAAAAACCCACTTACGTCTAATGGCCTCCTTGTTTGGGGGTAAAGGAATCAATGACCAAGTTTCATTCTTAAACAAAGCATCATATTTAGACTACATAGTAATCACCCATTCAGGGACATTGAAGGCTTCCCTAACATTTTTAGGTTCAAATTAAGTGAGGAGATTAGTGGGAACATGTTTTTAAGCTACATATTTAGAGTGAGTAATCATAAGATAATTGTTTGTAATTGTAAGAACGAGAGTGATAGTGCTAGGAACAAAACTAGAAAAGATTGGGTTGTAGAGTAACTAGGTCAATAATTTGAGTTTTGTAGAATATGTTGAGAAAGAATTATGATAGGTAGAGAAGGTAAAGTGATGAAAGATTGAGAAGAATTTTCTTTTGAGGAGAAAAGTATAGGATAAAGAAAGAGAGTTTCATTCAAAATAACATCTTTTAGTGGTGTAAGTGGGTACGAACTACTCATGGACATAAACTAACTTAAACAAACCTAATGAGTTCAAATTGGATTTTTTTAGTGTTCAGGTTAGACCCAATCCAACCCAAACAAAATTCAATATTGTACGGATTGGATAATGAATTTTGTGTTTTTTGACCTGTATCCCAACCCGACCCGATCCTATAATGATAATAATAAGTTAGTATAATCATTTGCTCAAGACAATACTCTCTATCACTTTTGTTCAGTAACGAGTATTGTGTTTTTGGGTCGATAACATTATAACAATACAACATATTCATTTCAAATTTTATTTTATATTAATATTGATTATTTGAGCCGATAACGATGTAACAAATCAACAATTTTTTTTGAAATTTAGATTGTATCATTATTTGCTTTATCGATTGATAACATTGCATTTGTAACAAGATATCAAATGATTTATATATATTGTTACATATTAAATTTTTATTAAAATTAAATAAATTTAATTATGTTAAGTCAATTAACCCAACCCATTTGCGATCGATTAAGTTGGGTTGGATTTAAAAAAAATGCACAAACATGACCTAATCCAATTTGATGGATTTTGATCTAGTCAGGTAACTGGTTTGTCCAAACCTAACCTAACCCAACCTGCTTACACTCCTAACATCTTTGGATATAATAATCTTGCCCATTGGAGTTAAACATTTATATCCTTTATGTGTCATAGAATACCCAAGAAATATACATTCTTGTGATCTAAGCTCCATTTTGTATTGATTATAGGGTCTTATTAGTGAAAAGCAAGCACATTCAAAAATTTTAAGAAAGAAATAGTTAGGTTGTGAATGAAAGTCTAGTATATGAGATGTCAAAATTAAGAGAGGTTATAGGTAATCTATTTATAAGGTATGTGGCTATAGAGAAGGCATCATCCCAAAACTTTACTATTAGAGAAGCATGAGCTAAAATAGTGAGTCCTAATTCAACTATGTGACATATTTTCTTTCTATAACTTTATTTTGGTGATGGGTGTGGGGACAAATTAAATAATGCAAAATGCTAAATTGTTGAAGAACATTAGAAAAGGATATAAATTCTCTGCCCCAACCAGTTTAAATAGCCTTTATTTTATAATTGAATTGTAATTCCATCATGTTTTTGAATTGTTAAAAGGCATTTAAGGCTTTAGATTTTGTTTTTCAACAAAAAAAACTAAGTGTATTTTGAGTAGGCATCTACAAAGGTTATGTAGTAATTAAAACCACTAGAGGATAGAAAATGAGCAAGCCCCCAAAGATCACAACAGATTAATTCCAATAGACAAGAATATGTAGTTAAAGAGGTGTTAGAAGGTAAGTGATGTGACTTACTAAGACAATAAAACGAACAAATTCAAAGTTTGTTTTATTAAATTTTGAGACATTATAATTTTGTAATACAATTCGAAGGGTGTCTTTATTAGGATGACCAAATCTACAATTCCACATATTTAGAGAAATATTGCAAACAAAATTTACAATAAGAGAATGTAAACCACCGTATTGATGACTTTGAACATAAAAAGGAAGGTGTGGATGGGATAATTTATAGAGTCTATCTTGGCCGAGAGATGCTTGGAGAAGCACTTCATTAGTAACTTGAGATTTCACAAGATAGACATTTGGGTGAAACTCAAAGAAAACATTATTATCATTAGCAAACTTGCTTATACTACTAGATTTTTTGTAATGTGA